TTTCCAGCAACTTTGTTTTTGTTCCTGATTTACAGCATCTGCAGTTCTTTTGGTTTTTACCAGAAATACGTGTCCTTGCATTCAACTGAATGGTTTGATGTCCCTCACATCACAAGCTCCTCAGTTTTATGATGAGAAAGATAGAAGGGAAAAGGGACTAAAGGAAAAGAAAAATCACACCAAGCATGATGTACAAATAAAGCTTACAATTAGGGCAGTTTTATTGATCCCAAACACCACATCAAAACAAGATTGCATGCCCTTCCAAAAGGAAATCTAGCATTGACAATAGAATTACATCCCAGGATTCAAACATGGAGTTGTGGGACAGGTGAGCATGGATTTAGGAGGTGAAGGATTGAGAGGAGAAGGAGGTTGGAAGGCTGAGGTATCTAAGGGTGTAACTTTTGAGAAAGGGAGTGATAATGGTGGATTTGAAATGAGAGAAGTACAATACCTAAAGAGAGGAACTGTTTACAATATCTGCTAGCAAGGGGGCCAGGAAGGTAAGTTGGGTAGTCAACATTTAGTGGGAATAAGATCAATAGAGCAGCAAGTGCATCCAATGTATATCTTATTCAGATTGGAGACAAGATGAGACTCCAGAAGGCCACCTTGGAAAAGACAAGATAGAACATATTTCTGTGACAAAATGTTTAAATGGCTCATTTAAAATGTGCATTTAATAACACTGTTCACCCCCTTGAAGGAGCTGTATGAAGCTGTGACACTAGTTCCATGGGTAAGATGTGCCTTTCAGATCTCTCCCAAGTGACTGTTTTGCATTTATCAGGCAAAACAGTGAGTGTCAGCACATTTTCTAGCATAGGAAGATCATATACAATGCACACACATGCACCTTCTTATTGAGTGCATGAGACAATGATCAGGAGCACAACTGCCTACTTCACCCCTCTGCAGGGTGAGATCTACTAAGACCTTTCTAGTCTTTGGAGTGTGTTTTACAGCTCCCTCAGCATATTTAAATATTGAGGGTACAGAAAATAAAACAGATGGCCAGCCTACCACCTTCCTGAACACTCCTAAGCTGCCCCCAAATGATGGGAGGGTGGGAGAGTTGTTATCAGGTAGGCTGCCCAACCTTGGGCCTGCTGGCCCTTAAGCTGCCAATAAATAGCCACTTAAGGACCTCAAACCACCTCCACTACAATAATACATACTGCTGGGGAAGGCAAAAGGAAGATAGCCAACCCATATCTTTCACAGCTTGGGCAAGAAAATGGAAGGGGATGGGTTCCTCCTTTCGGAGGAATGTGCTCCCACTTTGTGCTTCAAACCCTTACCTTTAAGTCCAGGAGACATCTTTGCAATCTTTGGAATGCCTTTAGTCTCCACTGTGGCCACTACTCGATTCTTGTGTTACTGGGACTACTCAGTAGCAGGCCAATCAGATTGGCTGGCATTTCCTGTCTCTTTTGATTCCATTATACATTGTGTGGCAATAAAGTGCTAAGATGTTTCAGGAGCACATTGACATTTACTTTGAAAATATTTCACTGTCCCACCCTATGGGCCAAAGGGAGAGTCAAAATTTCTGGTGAGGAATCCTGTAAGGAGCCATTGATCCCTTTAAGCAAGCACCTTCTGCCAATTCCTGCAACTGAATAGATTACAGATGTAGGGGCTTCTAATTTCCTCTGGATTCAACCTAAAAGTTTGAGGAAGGAATGTAGATGTTGGGCAAAACCGTGTCTTTAAATTCTGCCCAAGCTTTGCAGCCAAAAATCAAATGGAAAGGAGACATATTTCATCCACCCCATCCCACATTCCCCTTTTACTGGAATAATGTACCCATCATATTAGCATTCCATTTTCTCCTGAGTCAAGTCAGACTTGTGTTGAGGTGACCTGTAACACAGTGTTGGTATGAGAGTCTTGTGACCTGTTGCAATATTTAATGCACAGTAATTGTATCTGCAGTCCTTAAATGAGATGCAGACCAGCTCACATTACTGCCCTACCAATGGACTGGTAAGCCCCAAAACTCCACTCCATCCTTTATGACATTTTGCAGCTATTGGTTGGCTCTTACTTACAATTTCTAAAAAAGTGTCTACACCTAAAACTACAAAGCCATTCAGTTCCCAAATAGCTTCTGTCTGTTTTCACTGGAGTTAGCTATGCTTTCACAGTTAACATTTTTTTTCTTTGAAAGGTAGTCATTCCTAGATTTTTATTTTCTATCTTTCCTTCATTACTAAAGAAAGTGGCCTGGGGTAGTTAAGGTTAAAATTTTAAAAAGCTCAAATTATTGAATTTATATTTTTCCCTGAGTTCTTGGTGGGATTGTGAGAATGCAGTCTCAGGTTATCTGGGACTTATCATCAGGACACATTAGTCTCTTAGGGAAAAAAAGAGGAATAATGTGTCCTTGGAAATAATTAATGGGACAGGTTACTCATAGAGGCCACCAGAGCAAATTTTTGATTGTTAGTCTATGCAGACCTATCTCAAGACTAACTCAGGTACATGGCCAGACTTGGTCATGATTATGACATTTGAACAATTGGAGTTCTTTCCGTGTTAGCAGCCATTTTGAAATCCACCCATTGTGTAATCAACCAGCTCCAAGGGTCCAGAACCTATCAACTCCCAACTCAGCTGCAACCGAAGGAGGAGTGAATGTTAGGAAAGGAGAGGAGGGGAGCTTTGTATTCAAATTGAATGAATGACTTAGTAATTATAATGAGTAATGAATGAGTACTTTCTGAAGAGATGTCTGTCCAGAGTGATTCCACTTGAGGAACTCTGTACTGTTTGATGCAGAAGATCCATGCAGTATTTTAGCCGGGGGTCAGAGGTCAGCAGTCCTGTTGATTTCAATGCCTGTAATTGAAGAAAAGGCAAAAATGAGATGAGATTTGAATCAAATGACATGAATTGCAATGAGTTATCTGGAAATAGAATAAATTGCAACGTATATTAAGCATTTGCAGTCATATCTTTTGAAATTAGCATGATTTCTTCAATAAATGAAACATCCAATTTGACAGAAATAAAACAAGAGCAGCAACATTTTATTTCACTTTAGTTTTTGAAACTTTTTCAGGAAAAGTTCCCGTTTATTCCCTCTCACCAATTTTCTTTCCGCCTGCTCTCCTCTCCTGAAGGTGCTGACTCCTTGCTGGGTAAGATTCCACTGGGAGCCAGTCACCTGACATATCATCCCAAGTATTCATCCTTCAGCACAAGAATCTGGATATTTGAATAATGACAGGCTATTCAACAATGCTGGACATCACAGCCATCTAATTCTTCTCTGATTTCCATACGTGTGCACTTCAAGCAGAAGTTATTGGATAGTCATCAAGTGCAGTCATCCTGGCTAATTGTTCACTTTCTCCCAGGAAATTGCTGTGCTCCTTCTGTCTCTTCAGCTGAGATCAGTCAGCTTAGCACATTTACTTGTAGTAAATATTTTGGTGCTTGTAATAAATATGCATTTGCATAGATTGTGGAACAAACTGAGTGAGTAACAAGTACCTGTGGTATAATAGTAGTGTCCCTACCTCTGAGCCAGGAGGCCTGCATTCAAGTCTCACCTGCCCTAGAGGTATGTCATAATGTTTCTGAATAGGTTGATTAAAATGTATCTAGAAACAAATACTGGTGCTACACAGCACACTCAAACTGCAGTGTAAAGGAACAATCACATTAAATTTAAAGACTTGTATCATTCTTAAATAGATAGGGAGACAGTAAGTCTGCTCCCTTAATGCCCGAGTCAGTGACCCCACTCCCTGTTGTAGTATTAAAACATTCAGACCAGCTCAAATCATTTATTTGGACTGAGTTGATACCAGTAGTAAGGTTGCTACAATTACTTTTCAAGTATCTAAATGAAAGCAAAACAAAATCAGAGTTCCTGGTTCTGATCACTATGCACTGGCTCCTATGGATTTATAGGCATTAGATGGGAGTATGCCATGATGGCCATGCATAAAGAGTGGTCACTTGGGTCAGGTTCTATGTGTGACTGGCACCTGTAGATCAAGCAGGTCCACTGCTTGACACTGTTTGACTTCTATCTGACAGAGTCCTATTCATGTGAAGAAGATTTTTCCAAGCATGGAATATAATGTGGGAAAATGTGAGGTTGTCCACTTTGAGAGGAAGAATAGAAAAACAATATTATTTAAAATGGAGAGAGAGAGACTGCAGAATTCTGATGTACAGAGGGATCTAAGTGTCCTTGTACATGAATCACAAAAAGTTAGTACACGGGAATAGCAACTAATTAGGAATGCAAATAGAATGTTGACCTTTATTACTGGAGGAAAGGGATGTAAAAGAAGGGAAGTCTTGGTATAACTGTACAGGGCAATGGTGAGACCGCACCTGGGATATTGTGTACAGTTTTGATCTCGTCACTTGAGAGGAGATACACTTGAAGAAGGCATTTAGTATGCTTGCCTTTATTGGTCAGTGCATTGAGTATCGGAGTTGTGAGGTCATGTTGAGGCTGTACAGGACATTGGTTCAGCCACTTTTGGAGTATTGCGTGCAATTCTGGTCTCCCTCCAATAGGAAGGATGTTGTGAAACTAGAAAGGGTTCAGAAAAGAACGTTGCCAGGGTTGGAGGGTGTGAGCTACAGGGAGAGGCTGAATAGGCTGGGGCTATTTTCCCTGGAGCGTCTGAGGCTGAGGGGTGACTTTACAGAGGTTTATAAAATCATGGATAGGGTAAATAGGCCAGGTCTTTTCCCCAGGGTGGGGGAGTCCAAACCTAGAGGGCATAGGTTTAAGGTGAGAGGGGAAAGATATAAAACAGACCTAAGGGGCAACTTTTTCATGCAGAGGGTGGCACGTATATGAATGAGCTACCAGAGGGAGTGGTGGAGGCTGGTACAATTACAACATTTAAAAGGCATCTGAGTGGGTATATGAATAGGAAGCTTTTAGAGGGATAACGGGCCAAATGCTGGCATTTGGACTAGATTTATAGAGAATATCTGGTCAGCATGGACGAGTTGGACCAAAGGGTCTGTTTCTGTGCTGTGTATCTCTATGACTCCACGATTTGGAGGTCATTCAGAAAATGTTCACTGGACTGATCTGTGGAATGAAAGGGTGTGTTTTATGAGGAAAGATTGGCCAGGTTGGGCCTGTGTCCATTGGAGTTTGGAAGAATGAGAGGTGATCTTATTAAAACATACAAGATTGTGTGGGAGCTTTGACGCTGTGGATGCTGAGAGAATGTTTCCCCTATTGAGGGGTCTAGAGTCAGAGGACATGGTTTTGTAATAAAGGATCTCCCAGTTACAAGGTGGTGAGGAGGAATTTCTTCTCTGAGTTGTTAGTCTTTGGACTTCTGTCCCACAGAGAACTGTGGAATGTGGGTCATTCCCCACATTCTAGCCCCCAATAACCACGTGGACTAGACATAACAGTCCTGTTATTATGAATTTAAGCCCAGGTTAAAACAGAAGTGCATGCAATCCTTTTTGAAAAACAAGAACAGCTTAACGTATCCACACTATTGAATGCTAATTGTTTGCATTATGTAAGTGTTTGCTCAGTATTGGTTTTCAGCTGTGTTCCTGCTCTGTACAGTATCTGGTGTTTAAATAATTTAGTCCAAACAAAGAGCCCATCTGCTACTCAGGAGGATTCAGATAGCTTTTTTCCCCCCACCAAGCAACCACATCTATCTGGACCTTTTACACTGCAGATTTGAGAACACCCAGCAGCCTTTTTACATTTAATGAAGTGTTCCAATATTCAGGCGGATTGCTGTTGATGAGAAGTTCAGCATTAAATTGGGAAGGAGCAGATTTACAAAAGGGTTAATGGTCAAGACATTACTTTCAGTAAGTTTTGACTATATGTATCCAGGATTATGGCAGATATAATCTTGCAGGAGTTGAGCCTCCAGGAGAGAATGAGAAAGGGAGATACCCAGAGAGGAAAACAAAGCAGAGCAGCATTTAATTCAAATGTAGTTTATTTGCCACACGCTCCATTCCCTGATTGAAGAGGAGGCCTCCAAGTGCTTCTACTGTACTTGGTAAAGCAGAATACATCTTTGGAGAGCACCTTCCCTTCCAGTGAATGTCGGTCTGCAGATCCACAGTGTCATGTCCAACTGGTGATTTAACTTGAGGGTCAAGTTTGAGAAGGGGGGACCTTCACGGTACTCCTTGGCTGCTATGGGAATTGAACCCATGCTGTATCATACTCTGTATCGCAAACCAGCTATTCAACCAACTGAGCTAACCGACCTCCACTGTAGGGATGGGGGCAGTTTTTAACTAATGGCAAGTCTAGATTCCGATTTTCATAATTTCACTGCCATTCATTCCATAAATATCCAGCAATTACCACTGAGAAAGTGGACCGACCAAGAACTCTAGGTTTGCTATTCGCTGCTGCAATTTTGGCCCTTTAGCAAGTATTGTACATGAGACTCTTCTGATATGCCTTACTCCTTGTCCACAGGGCTCTTTATTCCATGCCTTCCGCTGCCACCAGTCCCTGAAGAGTATCTCAGCGCACTGGACACGTTGAAAACTAACTCAATCCACCCGTTGTTTGCTGCAGCTGTTGGAGCACCTGGTATTGCAAGGCAGTTGCGATCAGGTTGTAAAATAGATTTTGGTAACCAGTACCCAGAGAGGGTGTCAATCAATCAAACAGATTTCAAAATGAGAGAAACACTGAATATGTGATCTTGATGTTTGAGAAGAGTGTCATAGATTGCAAATAGCGCTTGGGATAAAGGTTTACAGTGAGATGCAAGAGCTTTTCATAAAAAAAGTGGCTGTCCAAAAAATACATGAGATCTGCATAAGCATGGTCTGATATCTTACAACTAAAGCTGTGCAACAAAGGTCAGACATAAGCAGTGTAACAAAGGACAATAAATGTGGCTTTGAGTGAGAAGGCGAGGCAACTTAGCCCCTTTGCTGTGCGTTTGCTTACACTGATAAACTTGGGGATCGGAATCTGCTCATGTCCCTCGGTGATTGTGTAGAAAAGCATGTCTTCCAGTCCTGGCATCAGGCCCGGTTTGTGCTTCCTCCTGGGGACAGACAAGCGCAGTAAGCGGGACGATAGATCACATTTCAACAGAGACCGATTAGAAGCTGACCTGATTGGGCAGTCAACTGGATCTGTCCAACAGCAACCTGTAGAAGCATTGTTTTGTCTGCAAACCGTATTACTGGCCATCAACCCAGACTACTGGTCAGTAAAAACAGGTTGATCGTTTTGTGCTGGCAGTTTCATTTCCTTTACAGAGCACCCTGGTTCACACCTTGGCATTCAATTTGATTTTAGATACGTGAATAATCAGATTAAAATAGTGTACAAAGGAACTTTATTCTACATGTTCACCATTCAGATTAAGATGAACAACAGGAAGTAACATTTAAGTAGCACATGATAAAGATTTCACGATGCTTCATTGAAGAGGATCCTGAGCGCTATTGGAAGAGTTAAAAGAGATGGTGGAGACGGTAGCTTTGAAGGAGATTTTTGAAGGTTCAAGCAGGTAACAAGAACTTGCATTTATTGCCCTAAGGATTGCCAAAGTGCTTCACATCTAATTACTGGTTTAAGTGCAGTTACTGATGTGAATTAGGCAAGCACAATGCTTAATTTGCAGACAGCAAGATTCCACAAACAACTGAGAGGAATGACCAGTTAATGCATTGTTGATGATATTTGAAGGATGAATGGTGGCCAGGACACACTCTGTTGCTTGTCTTCGAAAAGTGCCAAGGATCTTTTACACTTACTGGAGCCACCAACTATTGCCTTGATTGAAATTTTTGCTCAAAGGTGAATAAGCAATGACTAGTTTAGGAGAATTTTCCAGAATGTAGGGCCAGAACAGTTGAAGGTAGAGGGTAGGGAGGTTGGTGCACAGGAGGGCAGAATCAAAACAGAATATGTGAACGTACAGCTGGAGAAGGCAACTGAGGTAGAATGAGATGAGGTCAGGAGGAAATTGTAAACAAACCATTTTAATGGGGACATGGAATCAAAAGAGGTCAACAAGGATGGAATAATAGGAGAGCGAGATACATAGGCAGCAGAGTTTGAAAAGTTACAGAATCATAGAATTGTTACAGTAGAGGGCAATTTACCACATTGTGCCTGCACCAGCTCTCCGAATGAACAATTCACTTAGTGCCATTCTCCCACCTTCTCTCCATAATCCTGCACTTTCTTATTTTTGAGACAATCATTTAATTCCCTTTCCAAAGATTCAATTGAACTTGCTTCCACCACACTCTCTGATAGTGCATTCCAGACCTTAAGCACTTTTGCTTCTTTTACCAATGACTTTAAGTCCATGCTCCCTCATTTTTAATCCTTTCACGAGTGGGAACAGTTTCTCCATATTTTCTCTCATGATTTTGAATACCTTTGATTTTGCAGTGATATCTCCCCTTTACTACCAATAGCACTCCTTTTGTCTTTTGCTTTGGGCACCCTCACCATCTTCCATTCGCTCCTTCTCCCCTTTTGTCAACAACATAAATACCTTCATTTTCCAGCCCTGTTCAGTTCTGAAGAGGAGTCATGGGACTCAAAACATTAACTCTGCTTCCCTCCACAGATACTGCCAGACCCGCTGCATTTTTCCACCACTTTCTGTTTTATTTCAACATAACCTCCTTAGTCTTGTACTCTATGCCCCTATTAATAAAACCTAGGATACTATATGCTTTATTAATCATGCTCTCAACTTGTCGTGCAATCTTAACCGAGGTTCTTCTGCTTCTGTACTCCGAACAAAATTGTGTCCTTCATGTTGTCAGTCCATGTTCTTCCTACCAAAATGAATTACTTCACATTTCTCCACTTTGAACTTCATTTGCCACATGTCCACCCACTGCACCAACTTGTCTATATCCTTTTGAAGTTCTACATTATTTTCTTCAAAGTTCATGATGCTTCCAAATTTTGTATCATCTGATCATACCATACCAATACAATATATTATATGTGAATTATTGCATTTTTTGCTTATAAAGGGGTATTCATTGTGGAAAGGATTATGACCATGGCAGAAAGATGATGGGTGAAAAGTAGCCTGAGGAGGCAACCTCAGATCAATTGGTCCGAGCTACCTTCACACCTTTTAACAAGGGAAAATCTTGCATTTATACAATGCCTTCTAACAACTCGGAAGCATGCCAAAGTATTTCACATATAATAAATGACTGCATTGTAACTGATTTCCTAGGTAACCATGGAAGTCATTTTGCACACACCAAGGTCCCACAAGCAAGACTTGTTGGCTATTGGAAGAATGTTGGCTAAGATGCTGGGTGACACTCAAAGGACATTCTTTTCTTGTTCTAATTCTTTCATGGGATCGTTAGCATTCACCTGAGCCAGTAACACAGGCATCTGAAGGAAATCTCCAGCATTGTGGTTCAAGTCCAAGATGTAGGCTTGAATCCAATCTTTTGGCTCAAGGTGAGAGTGCTGACCACTGAATCACAGTTGACACTGCTAAAGTCAATTCACATTTGCATATTGGTAAAATTAGAAATGACAGATTTGACAAATGCTCAAAATAGCCTCACTGCAAGCTCGCAGGAACTATTAAACCCCAAAAAGAACTCAATGAAGGACTCCTTTCCAAGTCTGTGTACAGCTGAAATGATGTTTTGGGAACATAGGAACAGGAGTAAGCCATGCAGCCTCTCAAGCCGGTTATGCGATTGATCTATAGCTTAACTCCATGTGCTTGCCTTTGGTCCATACCTCTTAATACCTTTGCTTAACAAAAATTTATCTATCCCATATTTAAAACTAACAACTGATATAGCATCAACTTCAGTTGGAAGAAAGTTCCAAAGCTCTTTTTTTTAATCGTGTGCTGGTAAGTAGAGTGATTTGGTACAAATTTTTTTCATTTCATTTATCTAGTATTTGATATTATAGTAGGACTAAGTTAAGCTTAAGAGTAAAAATGGCAGGAGATCCCAGACCTGTGTTATGCTCCTCTTGCTCAATGTGGGAGCTCAGGGACGCGGCTGATGTCCCTTACTCCTACACGTGCAAGAAGTGTGTCCAGCTGCAGCTCTTGTTAGACCGCATGACGGCTCTGGAGCTGAGGATGGACTCACTTTGGAGCATCCGTG